GGCTGTTAGTTTCACTTTCGCCAGAAAGTCGTGTATGCCTAAGGTTGAAAATAAATGATGTTTATAGTGAATGCCCCTATGAATGGTTTTATTTTTACGATTTAGTTTTAATCCAAACAATGCGTGCGCTAAGTGAGTGAACATCAAAGATCACACAACAGAAGTGCTCTGTCTGTCTGTCTGTCTGTGTCTGTCTGTCTGTGTCTGTCGTTAAGTAACTTGTGCATTGTTTTACTTGTTTTTGACATATCCGACCGAACTACAAACTTTCCAGTGATGTCTGTGAGAAAGGTATATTCACTCGACAAGCTCGCGCATCTGCGCCGCCGCCGCGCGCTCAATCCACTCAGCGTGCTTTGTTTATCAGCTCGCGCACATCAGCTATACAGGCGTTAATACTGAATGTTTAACATTATATTCACTGCATACATATACTTCGTAGTAGACATCCTTAACTCCATTCTGCTGTCTGTTGTCGGTGTTTCTTTGTTTGAATATGGCGCTTATCACATGCTGTGTGGTATCGGGGCATTTTAACGAGTACGAGTACAGGAGACCAGTATCGGTATCGGTGCATCCCTATTGAAAACGTATATGTTAAAATGTCAAGGTCCATCACATGCATTCACTGAGAACATTTATGAATAAATAAGATATATAAAAATGTCTAAAACGGATGTAAATAAAAACAGTGCAAACCACCCAATCACGTTGAAAACGCACGGACAACTCGCTCACCTTGTAAATGCCGTCGTAGCGGTTGCCGTCTTCGGGACTGTACTTGCTGTGTTTGCGTCCTTTGGAGCTGCGCACGACTCTCACGGGTTTCCCAGCTTTCCAGTCTTTGGCCTCGGCGCCTTCCTTCTCGTTCACCGCCGCGTTGCAGTTCAGAGCAAGAGCCCTACAAACAACACATCAACAATAAAAACAAGAGAACCCATACATTTATTCCAGATGCAATTTCATCTTCGCAACATTGATATCTTCCATACTGCATGAAGCTCAATGCAAATGAATGCAACTCCAAATAGCTAACCCAGGAAATGTTTAAAAATGCGACGGTTCTCGGACCTGTTCATGTTGGTGAGCTTCTGATCGCAGGACTGCTCGGCCGTCCTCTTGTTTCCCGAGAGGTCGCGACCCCCGGATCCCGTGTAGGTGAACTCGTTACCGTCGTCCTGAATAAAGAGCGAGTCACAGGTGAACGGAGGAAGGGAAAGAGTTCTTGAGGGACAGCTTTGGACGAGAATCACAAACGTACCACGTCATCTTCGTAGCCCCCGGCGAGAACCAGAGAATAAGCGCCGTCGTTACTCCTGCCGTGAATCCCAGCGACGTGAGGCCTGTGAACGCCGGATTCACTCACCTGAGCATCAGAAATACAACAAGATCCCCAAGATAAGCATCTTCCCATGATTACTGGACTTTTTCATTTTAGAAATATTTTTAACTAATGATATCAACAAAAAAAAAAAAGTTAAAAACACCTTTTGTTTTAAACAAATATGAAAATAATTTCAAATATCCATAAATATTATAAAATGAAGTTTTGCATATAATTAAACACTTTAATTGTATGATAAAACAAAGTTTATCATTAAGTAATAGTGGTTAAACGGATCGTAGTGAATGAAAACAGCTGAGTAAGAAATGGGATGTGAAGTGTATCATTATATCGGATCCGTGCATCAGGTCTTAAAGGGACAGCGGCCTATAAATACTGCTGCTGTCATTAATGATCATCAAACAACAAAACAGCTGTGATAAAAATCTATATTTAATTTATACAGTGAACACTATGCAGCATTATTTTCCCTAATTATTACATTTCTGTATTTGAATACTACCAACCTTGTTTAATTTGTAACATATTGTGTTGTATTTATCTATGCTTGTAATTTGTGTATTTGTTCATTTTTATTGGCTGTCCTCTCGTCTCTTTAATCATGTTTAAACTTTCTTAGTTAATCTAGTAGTATTTGCTGTGGTATCAAAGAAGTACTTCGCTTTAAGTAATAAATGGAAAGCAAGTTAAATTGAAATATTTTTCTTTTCTTGCTGATCCAAAAAATTATCCGATCCGTGGGTCAAAAACTGTAATGTGATCCGAACCGTGAGATTTGTGATCTGTTGAACCATTAAGTAAATTCTAATCAGCTTGTTCAATATACAATTAATTTTAAAATAATTGTTTTAAACATCCTTATAAACAACATTAATGGTATAATAAAAGCTCAAATTTAATTATGAAGTTTGTAAACAAATAAATAAAAAATAATAAAAAAGTCATTTAGACAAGATAGGACTAAAAGAAAATGTAGCGATATTTACTAGTTTTATTTCATTATTAAGCTAATAATGGAAACCATTAAAAAAAATATTAAATTTATTTAAAAAAAAATAAAACAAATACTAATACTAACAGAAACTATAATTTAACTTTTTAAAATAGTATAATTATGTATAAATAATATAACATACTATTTTAGGGTTTCCATGATTATAGAAGGCCTTAAAAAAAAAAAAAGTATTTTTATTAGTTTTAATTATTAAACTAATAATGGAAACTATAATTTATTTAAAAAAAATATTCATATGAATATAATTTTTTTTTTTTTTATAAAACTAATACTGATACTACTAATACTAAAAATGGAAACTATAAATAAACTAATTCAATTTTATAATTATTCTTAATGAAACTAATACTTTTTAGGGTTTCCATGATTATAGAAGGCCTATAAAAATAAACTAGTATTATTTACTATTTTCACTCAAACTAATAATGGAAACTCATACATACACACACACATATGCACACACACATTAGTGCTGTCAAACAATTAATCGCATCCAAAATAAAAGTTTTCATTTATATAACATGCGTGTACGGTGTATATTTATTATGTATATATAAATACAAGCACATGTATGTATGCATGTATGCATATATAACACACACATATACACTTTTTTTTTTTTTTTTTAAATAAAACTAATACTTCATAAGGTTGTGACCATTTAAGATAAATAAAATAAACTCAAGCAGATTGTATATTCCCACCTGCACTCTGAACTTCCACAGCGTTCCCACTGGGACTCCAGGAACAGGGCCGTGATGGTTGGAGGGAACGATGGTGCACTGTTTAGTGCGGCCGACACACGCCATACCCTGCCAAACGAGACACCAGGCTCATAAATACTTAATCTGAACCAATCCCACACCCGTGTCTGCGATTTTGCCCGTCTGAAACGCACCTTCCCCCAATCTCTCTGACTGGACGAGCTCGCTGACGCCATCTTGGCCTTCTTCTTGCTTTCCTTCAGCTTCTCTCCGGCCAGAACCACCTCGCTGGCGTCATTACGGCATTCAGGACAATACCTGCGAAAAAGACATTTAGAGTGGAAACGACAATTGTTTTACTTGATTTGCGCAGACAATTTACGCAAAGGTTTTACGAATAATTAATACAAATTTGTTTAACTCATATAATGCAGTTTAATAAACATTTTACATATTCGTTCTTGCCAAAGGTTGTTGGTTCAAATCCCATGAACAAAACCGTATGATACTGAAACTTAAAACTTTTTTTCTTCAAAATACAATTAAAGTATTTAGGTTCGTAGATCAATTTGAGCGACAAATTTCGTGAGAACAAAAACAGTGAAAGCTAGCAAGTTTATTTGATGTTGTCAGAAGGTTGTTGGTTCAAATCCCTCAAGAATCAATTTATTGTTGCTTTGGATGAACGTATTAAACGAGGAGTAATTAGTGATGAGAACAAATTTAGCAGTCTTTGTCGCAAGAATGGTTTTACGAACAGCTGCCGAGCGATTTACACAAATTCAACAATTTACAAATTATATTAGAGATTGTTACAAATAAGCTTTGTAGTCGTTTAAAATCTTTAATATTTAAATGCTGTATAAATAAAATTGTATGAAAAATTAACCATGACTAACTTTCTTCATTATACAATTGAAATATTTGTTTGTAGATCAATTTAAGAGAAACTTCATGAGCACAAAACAGATCTAAAGCTATGTTTTGACGTCACCAAAAGGTTGTTGGTTCAGATTCCTCAAGAGTTTATTTATTGTTGCTTTGGAGGAACATATTAGATAAATGATAAGTAATTAGTGACGGAGAACTCCTTTACTAGACCTCGTTGCGAGAACGAATGGTTTTACAAACACTGTACAATTTACAATTGATTTTAGAGCCTAGCGTAACAAAAAATATATGTAATTAAGATCTTTATTTTTAAACATTGTAAACAAAGCTTCACATTCAAAGTGGACTAGAGTGAACTTTCATCATTATACACTTGAAATACTTAAGTTTGTAGCTAAATTTAAGAGAAACACTGACCACTAAAACAAAAAAAAGCTACGTTTTTTTGTCACTAGAAGGTTGTTGGTTCAAATTTGAAAAAAACTCCGGAGTTTTTGAAAATCTTCACCCTGGCAGGCGTTTTCACAAATGTTCGGTTTCAGTGACCTGGTGCTGCATTTGCGTGTGGACGAACGGCCAAACCGCATAGAAAAAGCTGGTTTTAAAAATACCTGCGTTCGTGTGGACAGGGCCTTAGTTCACCCAAAAATGAAAATTCTGTCATTAATTACTCACCCTCATGCCGTTCCAAACCCGTAAGACCTCCGTTCATCTTCGGAACACAAAGTAAGATATTTTGGATGAATTCCGAGAGCTCTCTGACCCTCCCATAGACCGCAAGCGTACTTACACGATCAAGGCTCAGAAACGTTGCAAGGACATCGGTAAAATAATCCATGTGAAGAATATCTTAATTTGTGTTCCGAAGATGAACAAAGGTCTTATCGGTTTGGAACAACATGAGGGTGAGTAATTAATGACAGAATTTTTTGGTGAACTATCCCTTTAAGAGACAAACAGTGTGAACACTAAAAAAATAGCTAAAGCTAACAAGTTTTTTTTGATGTTGCTAGAAGGTTGTTGGTTCAAATCCCTCAAGAGTTGATTTATTGTTGCTTTGGATGTAAGTATTAGATAAACTCGTTTACCAGTCCTCGTCCTCAGGGATGGTGGTGAGCGGCGGGTTCAGGCAGTAGGTGTGAAACGCCATGTCGCATTCGTCGCACAGCAGCTGTTTGTCGGGATCCTGCTTCACGCCACAAGCGTGACAGTTGCACATGCGGCAGTTCTTCTTTGGGTCGTCTTTGCAGACCTTGCACTCAGGTCCGTTCGACCCTGAAGCGACAGAAACAAGGAACCTTATAGTTTGCGCTTAACATATTGAGAAAGCATACCGCAAAACCGAAATGTAGGTTCGATACGATACTAAGAAGTCAGACTCACTCTTGAGAGGGCTGTCAGAAGAGGCTCCTGGACCCTCCGAACTTCCTGGCTCCTCGATCTTGTAGATTTCGGTTACAAACATGATGCGACAGTCGTTGAGAGAATCGCCAGCGTCTCTGTAGAAAGTGTGGACAAACATTGTGAGCGAAACAAAGGAAATGACCAGCAGAACCAATGCAATTTTAAACATCTAATTCACTCGACAATTTGCACACTGGTTTCACAAGGAATTAGAGCTAATTTTTCCTGCTGAAGGTGACAACTTTCATAAGAAGGGGCTTTACAAACATTTTACATATTCGTTCTTGCATAAAAATTATTTTACGAATACTTCCGAGTGATTTACATATTTATGTAATTATTAGTTTAAATGTAACAAATTTGCAATATACTTAAATATTATACAAACAAAACTTAAAATCAAAATCTATTTTAATTCTATATAATACTTACATTTGCAGATACATCATTTAAACACAAACCAACAGAAAGAAAATGGAATTCAAACGTCTGTAATGGAATTGACCATTTTAATTTCATGAGAAAGAACGGCTTTATGAGCAATTAATTTGAAATTCTTTCTACGAACTGAAAGCAACATTGCGTAAAAAGTAGTTTGACATTTTACACGTTCCTACATAAGAATTGTTTTACAAACACTTCACGGGGGATTTACACAAATTCAATTTACCAATGAATTTAAGAGTTGTGTAAAATGCTATAATTGTTTTAAATATTTTTAAATGTGATTTTAATTGTATAATAAAATGATAAAATTTAATTAAAACCATTAAGTTTGCAGATAAACTTGTGAGCAAACCAACAGAAAGAAAAAAAATGAAAGCAAGGCAATTTTCATGAGAAATGAATGCAAACTTGCTCTGAAAGCCTTGCGTAGAAAGTGGTTTGGTAAACATTCCTCTTTAAACAAATTTGATAATTTACAAATTATTTTAAAGCCTAAACCATACTATATAATTGTTTAAAATCTTTTTAAACACATCTTAATTGTACATTAAAGCTTTATTATAAAGTTCATAATTAACTATGCCATTAAAATCCTTAAGTTCATAAATAATTAAAAATGAGAAACTCTTTAGACCAATAAAAGAAAATGGTCTGCAAGTGGAATCGACCATTTTTAATCAGATTTGCTCATCGAACAAGACAATGTGTATTTGTTCTTGCGCAAGAACATTTTTTTTCTACATGGTTTGGCTAAAAGCTTAGCTTAAGGAAGTGCAAAAGATATTTAGAAGAATGTTGGTAACCAAAGAGTTGACGGTAGCCTTTGACTTTCATAGTATTTTTTTTTTTCCATATTATGGAAGTCAATGGCTACCGTCAACAGTTGGGTTACCAACATTCTTCAAAATATCTTATTTGTGTTCAACAGAAGGAAGAAACCCATTTGGAACAAGTGAAAGGATGGGTAAATGAGAGAATTTTCATTTTTTGGGTGAACTATTCTGTCATTAATTGCTCACCCTCATGTTGTTCCAAACCCGTAAGACCTCCGTTCATCTTCGGAACACAAATTAAGATATTTTTAATTCATTCCGAGAGCTCTCTGACCCTCCCATAGACAGCAAGCATACTTACACAATCAAGGCTCAGAAACGTAGTAAGGACATCGTTAAAATAATCCATGTGTCATCAGGGGTTCAAACTGTAACTTTACAAAGCTACGAGAATATTTTTTGTGTGCAAAGAAAACAAAAATAACGACTTTATTTAACAATTAGTCTCCTCCACGTCACCCTGGAGTCATTTTGGAGAATATCGACTGAACGCAAACAGCGTATGCTGTTCTGTGTCAGCAGCACCATACGTGGATACGCTGTTTACGCTTTGATCTGAACGTATCCGCGTACATACGTATGTGATATTCTCCAAAATGGCGCTATAGGGTGATGTGGAGGAGACGAATTGTGGAATCAAATCGTTATTTTTATTTTCTTTGCGCACAAAAAGTATTCTCATAGCTTCGTAATATTACGGTTGAACCCCTGATGTCACATGGATTATTTTAATGATCTCCTTGCTACGTTTCTGAGCCTTGATCGTGTAAGGATCCTTGCTGTCTATGGGAGGGTCAGAGAGCTCTCAGAATGCATCAAAAATATCTTAATTTGCGTTCCGAAGATGAAAGAAGGTCTTAAGCCCCGTTCACACCAAGAACGATAACTATAAAGATAAAGATATTAGCGTCCACACCAGCGAACGATATCATCTGTTTATTCTAAGCGCACGCTCGTCTGCCACTTTAAATTCTCGAGCTCGTTGTAGCAGGATGGATTCTGATTGGCTGTCAATGTTTGTATTGTTCATCAGCTGGAAAAAATCATTCTGATAGTGATTCCAGTGATATTGTTTCTCTGTGCCTTCATCGTTATAGCTGTGGTGTGGACTCTGCTATTCTTTAATTTTGAGAATTATTTTTAGAACTATATCTTTATTGTTATCGTCCTTTGTGTGAACGGGCCTTGGTTTGGAACGACATGAGGGTGAGTAATTAACTACAGAATTTTCATTTCTGGGTAAACTATCCCTTTAAAGACTAAAACATCATCCTACCCGAGCAGGATCTTGCCGTAAACCTCGCGCTGGGTGCGTGTTTCTCTCTTCCTCTGGATCTCCGCGTCGTACCAGTAGCCGCGCTCCTTGGGCTCGTCCGGGTTGAAGTTCACCATCACGATCATGCCCTGCTCCAGCTGGTGCCACTGGTAGACGGTGCGCGCCCGAGGTCGGATGTCTTGCCCACACAGCTGCACCACGCCATTTTCAGGGTAACTGCACAGAGCACACACTCGCAACATTAGCATTCAACAGCGTGGGATGTTTAAACAGACCGCCTTTGATAAACGGTTTAAAACACAGATGAAAGGAAAGACTGAAACTGGGAGATGTTAACAGGTGCACGAGGCACTCGCGATGAATCCAGGTGTTCATGCTGAAATCGGTTTGAATTTGGAGGGGGGGAATCTATATTTTGTAGATCATTTGAGCCTGTGTGAGTAAAACTGTAAGGTGAATAACACATTCAACATTATCTTTTCCAAAGTCTGTCTTCCAAGTCAATTCAGCCTTATAATTGTGTCATAAGAACATCTGACTGAAAAAACTTGCGATTCAGAAAGTGAATCAGTTGTTCACTTTGATTCAAAATAATAATTCATGAATCTTTTGAATTGTTCATGACTCACTGAATGTTTTAAGATTTGGATGTCAAACTGTATTCGTTGTTGAGCACACATGAAAACGAAGGCACTGGGATTAATACGGAGTATCGTTAAAGCTGCAGTCCGTAAGTTTTGCCTCTTTGTTGCCATCTCTGTTTGAAAACCCGGAATTGCAGCTGTGTGCTGAATTATCTTCATTGCGTGGGTTGTGAGTCGGCACGGCTCCAGCGCGGTAAAGCTGCAGTCTGTAAGTTTTGCCTCTTTGTCGCCATCTGTGTTTGAAAACCCGGAATTGCAGCTGTGTGCGGAATTATCTAGCTTGCGTGGGTTGTGAGTGGGGGCGGCTCCAGCGCGGATGAATCTAATGTTCTGAAGAGTATGTGTAGCAGTCAGTCAGTCACCGCACTGATGTGGATATTTACTGTACTTCGCAAACACAGATTCTATCTTACGTCTTGGAATATATGACCCAAATAAGAATTTTCACCGTATATTGTCATCTGAACAAGTAACAAGTCTGCCACGTTTGTTCTGACCAACTGAGAAAAAAAGCAATTCCATAAATCTCGCTACCAATGGTGATTAAATCTAAAGATTGGTTCGCTCATATCACATCAAACCGTTCAAATTATTATTATTATCATTATTGTTATACTTTATTCTCAAATTATTAAAATGTTAACAACATCAGCATTGGGGGCTAACCGTTGTGAATCGGGCTAAAGTAAGGCGATAGTTTTGAACACTGGCTGTTTATGTACTTGCTCAAATATTGATTTCGGATCAGTTTTAACCAAAAAAAAAATATATATAAAGTTACGTACTGCAGCTTTAAAGATTTCTCCATTTGATTTGATTCACAAGCTAACAATTTTTTCTGATTTCACTTTGATTCAGATTAATTTGGGCATATTTCAGTGATAAAGTCCATTTTGCTTACAGAAAGGGATTCTCTGAATGCTGATGGTGTAAATTAGACATGGATTCAAGCCAATAACTCATCTTTGAACAATTAATTTACATTCGGTTACATTGTATATTCGTTTTTTTGTTCAGCTCGCAAGCACTCGATACAAAGACGTTTCTTACCATTATTTTGTTGTAAACAAAATATTTGTGTCATTCAATTCAGACCGCAAACTCACATTCACAACTAAGGTCAAATATGACTTTTTGCATTGGAGCAGGATCAGTGTGGATATGTACAGTGACTATTTACTCACTCTTCATATTTGACATGGTAAATGATCTCCTCTTCCCCATCAGATCCTCCGTCTTCACTCGAAGACTTTGTCGTTTTCGTCACGTTGACAATCTGCGCCTCAAACCAGGCACCCATGTTCAAGTCTCGAGCGTCCACAAACTCATTGATCTAAGTAAAAAAAAATTAAAAATACATTTACTATCAGATAGGAGAAAAACAAAAACCAGCAAGACATTTGTAGTGGAATCGATATGATGCAAATGAAATGTGACAATATTTACACAAATTTGACAATTTCGAAATTATTTTAGAGCCTAACATAAATACTATATATTTTATAAAATCTCTTTAATACATTTAAATACTGAAAAATTGCTTTCGTTTCTCTTTTGGAAATCACTTTGGATAAAAGCGTCTGCTAAATGTACTATATAATTGTAAATATAACAACAAAACCTGTTAACTGTATAATAAAAACTTGAAAATTGAAATATGAACTTCAATATCAATATTGAATTTTGTTCATTATACAAAGTGTTTTTTGTTACACTGGGATCTAAACGTAATTTTTTGACTTGTATAAATATTTAATACATTTATTGATCACAAACAAAACATTTTTTACTATTAAATTTATTACGTTTGTAGATCATGTAAAAATACAAGAGACAAACTTAGCCAGCAAAAATGTCAACCAAAAAAAAAAAAACAATGGCCAACATGACGTTTATATGACGGTTAAATGTGGAAACAACACAATTTAATATTTGCAACAATTTGCACAAGAATAGTTTCATAAGCAATTAACGCAAATTTGCTTTGGTAACTGAATGCGACAACTTACATACAAAGTGATTTTCCAAACATTGCATATTAGCTCTTGTAAAAGAAGTTTTACGAATGCTTAACCAATTTACGCAAATTTGACAATTTAGAGAGATTTAAGAGCCTAGTGTAACAAAAAATATAATTATTTGAATAACTATGTTTAAAGAAAGAATAATGTTTTTATTAATAGCATTACACTTTATTTGCTCTGTTTTATTTTGTGAAACCTTACTACGTATATGGAATAACCGTTTTATAAAAGCAATTCGCGTCGTGCCAAACAACGCCCCTTAGCTGTTATAAATTCACTGTAAACCACGGCTTCTTGGGGCTTATTGCTTTATTAATAATTTCAATATACAAGAGACAAACTTAAGGCCAACGAGACATTTATAGTGGAATTAACACAATTTTTAAATTTGATTTGTCATGACAATTTACACAAGAACGATTTCATGAGCTTCCAATAAGGTTTTAATCGCAGTTTCTCACCTTGTAAAAGCCAAAGCCAGGGTCGATGAGATCCGGCGTGTCAGTCTGGCCCGAGGTCCCGGCGCCTTGGCCGTCGCTCTCGCCGTGTGTGGAGCTCTTATCAGACTCGCTCTGGGCCGATCCACAGCCGGAGTCAGAGTCGTACAGCTCGGCCTCTTTGTCCTTCGGCAGCGGCGCCGATGTGAGCTTCTGACGCACCAGAAGTTGCACGATGTCGTTTAACCCAACATTATAGTCGAAGATTGTGTGGCCGTCTTCCATCTATGATGCCCAAACAAGACATTTAACATTAAAGGGTTATTAGTTCACTTCCAGAATAAAACATTTCCTGATAATTTACTCACCCCCATATCATCCAAGATGTTCATGCCTTTCTTTCTTCAGTCGCCAAGAACTTAAGCTTTTTTGAGGAAAACATTCCAGGATTTTTCTCCATATAGTGGACTTCAATGGTGGCCAACGATCTGAAGGTCCAAAATGCAGTTTCAATGGGCTCTACAAGCCGAGGAATAAGGGTCTTATCTAGCAAAACGATCGGTCATTATCTTAAAAATATATATATATTTATACACTTTTTAACCACAAATGCTCGGCTAGCATTAGCTCTGCGTCATTATTAAGTGATATTGGAAAGGTCGCACGTGACGTAGGCGGAAATACCGACTAGGGCTGTCAAAAAAAAAATTCTAATTGATCAATGGTGGCCAACGATCTGAAGGTCCAAAATGCAGTTTCAATGGGCTCTACAAGCCGAGGAATAAGGGTCTTATCTAGCAAAACGATCGGTCATTATCTTAAAAATATATATATATTTATACACTTTTTAACCACAAATGCTCGGCTAGCATTAGCTCTGTGTCATTATTAGGTGATATTGGAAAGGTCGCACGTGACGTAGGCGGAAGTACCGACTAGGGCTGTCAAAAAAAAAATTCTAATTGAATATTCGTCGAATTTAAAATAAAAATCCACATTCCACATTCGAATTTTAGGTGTGCGTTAAGGAGGCAGCCTTATCAGTGGCGCACGAGATACGATGACGATGTAAGTGTGGTTGCATTTTAATGTTTTTGTTAGCCTATCCAGTTGAAGCCACTAGATGCGGCGCGGCTACGTTGTTCATTACAAATATTGCGGAAACAGAGAACATCAATGCGGAGAAGATTGTTTACATCAAAACTGAAAGCAACTTAATTATAATTGGTTTATAAACATTATGCACTTTTTTTTTTTCTCCACAAATAGTCGTTATCTTATGCTTTGAATAAACGTGCATTAGTAATATTTTGCTCGATGCGCCCTCTTGTGGCCTCAGAAGAGAAGCCAAAAGCTATTCTTCACCATAACTGAAATTATGCATTTTAAATTCGAATATAATTTGAATTTTGATAATATTTAAGTACAAAATTCGAATTTAGTTTTTCAGCCATTTTGACAGCCCTAGTACCGACCCAGTGTTTACAAAGCGAACATGTGAAAGAAGTCATTGCCCTTTACTAAAAATGTAAAACAACGATGTCAGATTATTTTAAAGTTGGAGGAGAAAATTAGGAGTTTTTAACCGAAGTACAAAGACGAAGAACTAACCATGCGTGACCTTTCCAACCGGATTACGTAATGTGTGAAGACGCGCATCGCAGAGCTAGAGCATTTGTGGTTAAAAGGTGGATAATTTACTTATTTTTATTTTTTTCAGAAAATGACAGATCGTTTCGCTATACAAGACCCTTATTCCTTGTCTGGGATCGTGCAGAGCCCTTTGAAGCTGCATTGAATCATTGGCCACCATTGAAGTCCACTACATAGACAAAAATCCTGAAATGTTTTCCTCAAAATAAATAAACTTAAGTTCTTGGCGACTGAAGAAAGAAAGACATGAACATCTTGGATGACATGGGGGTGAGCAAATTATCAGGAAATTTTTATTCTGGAAGTGAACTTATCCTTTAAAACAACAATACACAAAATAATGCTTCATTTTTTGCTACCCAATCAATTTCTAACAGATAAAACCAATCCCTGTCCACTTTACGGAAATAAACCTGCTTATGAACGCCACGTCACCTGTTTGCCCCTGTAAAAGAGTCGCTGCCTCTCAGCTTCGACATTGAAGAGCTCTGCGATCTTCACACGTAGCTCATCCACCTTGGTGAGCTTGGACAGGGAGTCTACCCGATGGGTCTCCTTGCCATCCATAGTGCGCACCTGGATCCACATGGCAGCAAACCTGCAACGAGCGACGTCAGCGAGTGAGATTATTTCCCGCCTTGCTTTTTATAGTTCAGTCTATGGCTCTCCACATGGCGGCAAACCTGCAACGAGCGACGTCAGCGAGTGAGATTATTTCCCGCCTTGCTTTTTATAGTTCAGTCTATGGCTCTGAGCCAAGAGCTTCAAAGTAGCAGGAAAAAGGTGTTTGTTTCACAGTGACGTGAGTGACACGGGCAGCTTTTTCCTCGTTCGTCTCCTCCGGCACTTTTAGGGTTGATACTCCGAGAAGCTGCTTTGAAGCAATCTGTTTTTTACGACTTTATGTAGAGTTACAGTACCTTTACAAAAAAAGGTGTTAGCACGATACAGTGATGCTACCGAATGACAAAACCCAAGGTACTTTCATTTCCAAGCATTTCCACACCATTTTTTTTTTAATTCGTTCTCCAATTTATGATCAATTAGGCCTAATAGGTTTTCAATGAATGTCCGAACATGGTGTATGCATTTATCATTGTACTAAATGATTACAATATTTAAATAAAATGATATTACAAAGGCACACCAAGCAATACTAACGTAAAACATGGTTTTACCAAGGTATATGCCTGAAAAATGTGGTTTTACCAAGGTACATGCTCAAGAAATGCAGTTTTACCATGGTATATACCCAAAAAATATGGTTTTACCATGGGGCATGCCCGAAAAACGTGGTTTTACCAAGGTACATGCTCAAGAAATGCAGTTTTACCATGGTATATACCCAAAAAATATGGTTTTACCATGGGGCATGCCCAAAAAACATGGTATTACCAAAGTACAGGCCAAAAAACATGGCATTACCATGGTAGATGCACAAAAACATGGCTTTACCAAGGTACGTGCCCAAAAAAACCATGGTATTACCATTCTACCCATCTAGATCCAATTTCAAATTGACGTGAGAGCTTATTATCCATTCCTACGGGTGAGCTAGTATATAATGGAGTTAAAAAAAGGCCTTGTTGACATCTCTGCTCTACAAACCACGCCTGTTATTGGCGGAAATAGACGGAAACGCCCCCTAACGTCATTCAATGGTAGTGCATTGAATGAAAGAACATCAGTCTTTAATGTTGTCGAGTTTAAGCCAACAACAGGAAGCTGAAATGGGGGTTGAACTTAATAAATGAGTCTATTTGGAGTTTATTTGTAGAAATCAATCAGTTTAAACCAGAATTAATGCAAATCGCGTTCATTTAATTAAGGGGTGGTGCGCTGGTCATGATGTGGGTGGTCTCGTATCAAAAACAGACACTTAAATGTCAAATATAAACTAGGAGTAACTGAAAATGAAAACTAATTGAGTAAAACAGCTAAACATTTATCATTTTAATTACATAAAATCAGTGTAAGTAACGCTAACCCATTCTGAACTCCTTCACAAACACTGTCCTGTCTCCCATGGGCTTGTTTTGAACTGTTGTGCACAAATATGCGTATTTATTTCAGCCTGCAAGACCTTGATAACACACATTTTAGCGGATTTAATAGCAAAAATCGTATTAACCTCACAATTAGACTTGATTTAAGGGCATGGGGCTGATATAAAAATTAATTTAAAGACAGAAAGTGAAAGAAATATTTGAAAAGCGCTAAATATGACATAACTGTTAACATGCACAAGATAAATATGCACATTTATTAATTTTTATTTATTAATATTTACAGAGTAAAATAAGGCGCGTGCGCATGGTTTTATAGACAATACCTTTAAAGACCAACCGAAACTGATTTTAAAAACGGCTCTTTACCTGTAATCTTCCTCTTGAGAACAGAAGACGTGGTTTTAATTAAATTAAAGCGCTAAAAGTGTGAAAATGTTGCACTTTTGTTACAGTTCAATCTTGCCGCGAAACGCACTGGAACTGGGGCTCGAATCAATAAAAGTGTTCAACAACGTGTTTCCCCTCCTGCCGCGCACAGCGCGTCGCTGATTGGCGGAGCGGAGTTCTGAGCCGCTCGCTGATTGGTCGAGCCGCGCGTCACTCACGAGCGTTGCCGGAGCTTAGACTGAGCGCGCGAAACCCTGCTCTCGTTATCGCACATGCTTGGCTCCTCGGCTCTTCTGAAATCTCGCGAAATTTGGCGGTGCATTATATAATAAAAGCACACGTTAAATGATTCGCTCATTTTTAATTAATATATAATCAACATTAAATTTCTAATTGCTTATTAAATTTACAAATAAAATATTTCAATATATATTCAACGTCAAGTAATAAGCAAACAGTAAATTTATGAAATTAATGATATAAACTTTTTTTCTTAATGTTAAATCCTAATGTTATATAGTTTGAGAACTAAAAAAAACTTATTTTTTTACAAATATAAATATTAAAATCACACGTGAAAAATTCAGTTATTTTATAATGGTAATATATATTTTTTATTTAGCAAAATGTACCCTAAACTAATTGCAGTAGCGCATGGAATATGCAGTATGAAAGCCTACAGTTATTTACAGTAGCGCATGGAATATGTATGAAAGCCCACAGTAATTTAAATAAAAAATTTAAACAATGGTCAAGTAAACAACGAGTCCTATTTACTTTAAAATTGATGCTAAACAACGTAAAGGAAAATTCACAAGCTCAACAGGTACGTAGTTCTTCTATTCAAAACTTTTCCTAGTCAATTTTACTGCCATCTTCTGGTCACCTGAAACGACGAAGTCCTACAGAAGTCCACATTTTTTTACCTTCTTCCGCATTACAAGAGAAAGCAGTCTTTAAAGGGGTCATATGATGCTTTTTTAAAGATCATTATTTTGTGTATTTGGTGTAACAGAATATGTTGACATGCTTTAATGTTCAAAAAACACATTATTTTTCAAATACTGTACATTATTGTAGGTCCTCTATGCCCCGCCTCTCTCAAACGCTTAGTTTTCAACAAAGTCCCTCCTTCTCACAAGCGCAGTCTGCTCTGATTGGCCAGCTGACCCAGTGCATTGTGATTGGCCGAACACCGCAACCACTGTCGGAAATGTAACGTCCCTTACCATAATCGCCAGCTTCAGCTTTCAAAATAAATGTAAAGACAGAGCCCGAAAGGGTTCTTAAACTAATAACAAAACAGTAGCTGATTCAGAAGCGCCAGATTGTCATAGCAAAGTCAGAATTACCTCCTCTCCTAGGTTCACGAAACGGTCGTCCATAAAATGCATTGCTGTTCTGTTGTAAGTAATCTTAAAGATTCCTAAATGCATCTACTTTCGGAAGGCCAAATAAAGTGCTTTTGCTTTCGCCTAGAAACACACAGTGTCTCCCTGACATGGCTGCTTCAACACTAACTGCGGTTACTGAAACCACGCCTTCTTTCTTTGCGTGCACATTTGGGCGGCATTATGCAAATATTCCCACATAGTGACCTAGATATGTGGGGGCATGTTAGAACGAGCCGTTTTTAGGGGGGGGTGGCAGAGTCTTAACTTTGATAAAGAATATCTCTTTAGTTTTGAGACTTTAGTCTTTGCAACTTCAGGGATCTTATCTATGCACAATCAGCTTGTAACACTCCAAAGAGAAAGGAAAACTTGAAATCGCATCATATGATGCTTTAAAACACCCATGTGTCACTTAATGTTTTAGATATAAAACAGCCGGTAAGTTACCATAAGCCACTTTATGTTTGATAATCAGTCCATTTCTACAGGTTCGCCGTTTCTGCTGTTTCTGTTTCTCAGTTCCTGCTTCTGGATGAATGCAGAGCTATTACAAAGGTAAGACACACGTTCTTTTGTGTTTCTTTATCATATTTATCAAATACATTGAGTGATGTAGCTAGTATTTACCTATTAATTATTTGGTCTGACTGTTATTTAGACTATGCTGTTTGAAGACGGCAACTAATAAGTCGCTAAACACTTATTTGGGATTATTTTCAAGTCTTGATATTGTATGTTATTATTCATACGCCATTTTTTATATGATCTAGTCAATTAACGTTCTGGTAAGGTTCTCTTAAAGTTATGAACTAAAGTTCTTCTAGTAAGGTTAATAGAACACCTGTTCAAAGTTATCTGGTAATAATGTTCTCAAAACGTTAGCACAAAAATTTTATTGATGCATTGTTCATGGAATGATGTAAACAAAATGGTTTCTAAAACATTTCAGTTGGATTTTTATTCTGATGTCTGATAGTCTGATATTTTGAAATGTTACTACTCGTTTCAGAATGTTCAGAGAACATTCAGAAATAATGTTTTAAAAACTTGTTAGCAAAACGTTCACAGAATATATTTTGTTAGCTTGGGAAATATCACAATTAATATTGAAATAGACTTCACTTTGTCTTTCAGCATTCAGGAGCTCACACTCATCTAAGTGACTTCGGATTGAATGGAATGGCTTGAACATGTCATATGAGAGCACATATTCACATATGATAGCCCGTATTTGCGTAAACAATGGCAGACGATGGAGCGGAGCTCGTGGATCAAGGATTCGCGAATCTCGCCAAGGCATTTGAGATAATTTCCCAGGCTGGTCAGGATCGATGGGTTAGCCTGACGTTCAAAATGGTCCACACACGGGCCGAGGAAATGGTGAATGCCATGTGCTTGATTCTCCTTAAGAGGATTGGAGAGGCGCACGCTAAGCTAACGGCTAACAGCAACAGCAGCATTGGAAAATACTTAGCCGAAATGGTCAAAATGCACGGAGAATGTGTGAACAGTAGCCACATTGGTGGTTTTACATCAACAGACGCCAATATTGGTGGTTTTAAGTCAACACACGCCAATGTGTTATTGGATATCGCAAGAATTTTTGCCGTTTTGGTGCAGGAGAGATTGTGCGACAAGTCGCTACGAGATCAAGCATACCGCAAAGCTCTTGCGTCGAGCAGAATGGCTGGTTTGCTATCTTTAGACTTCGAGGAGGAAGTAAAGTAAGTCTGCAGGCCTGACGTTATCAATGAATCCAACACCGAACTTCCTACCGAAACCTACAATTTGACGTCGCTAGGTCGAAACAATGGCCCTCCATCATCTCAGCAATCAAGCTCACATTACAGTATTGAAATTACCTTGCCAACTGCTACAGAATCCAATATGGAAGAATCAAAGCCGATGAGTCTACGAACACCAACAGATGGTGAAACTACAACCAATCAAGACCAACTACGACATATTTGTGCAAAGAACCAGCTACCGACAGCGGAAGTTAATGACGCGGCAAAGTCGAAGCAGTGTCTAGACCGCAATGGAAGCTCCCAACTTGTGACATCCAAAAACACGAATCTCAAATTTTCGTCCGCCCCAAATGATGGCGACAAACTTCGAGCTCAACCACTAAACACTAACGATCACAAACCGACAACTCAACCTATCAGTTTTAGCTCTCCAGAACCTAGTCAAAGCGACGTAGAAGAAACGTTTTACGACTTTGTGATCCTGCATGAAGCTGAAGACGCGGACGAGGCGCAAAGACTCAAGGACAAACTTGAACGTATAATTTCTGGAGTTGGTGCAACGTTTTCCGACGACTTCGCACAACCAGGAATGTCGACGTTGCGATGTATGGAGGACGCCATCGAGAATTCGGCATTCACGCTGCTGCTGCTCACCCAAAACTTCAACTCCAACCTCAGCGCGACCAGCGCCGATTCAGAGATCGTGAATTCGCTGGAAAACCACCACAAAATAAATTCCGTAATTCCGCTGCTACCTCGCAAGAACTGTTTGTTGCGCAAAAGTTTTCCGTTGGTGCTTCAGACGAAGGTCCCTCTCGATGAAAGCAGAAGAATGTTCGAACGCAACGCCCAAAAGGCCATCGCACCGGGAAAAGTAGCAAGTCAAAAGAAGATTTGGATGATCAAACAGCATCGTAAGAAACTAGTCGAGGAACAGAAGAGACTACAAGAGGAGAACGCCATAAATGTGGAGCTGCGACGAGAGATGGAAAAATTAGCGCGACTGAGACAAGAAAGCGAAATGCAGCAAAATAACGTTTTATCCGCCATCTGTACTAATGCATCCATCTCCGTCACATGGAGCGATGCATCCGCAACACGGCGCATGGCAGCAGCAACAACCATCGTGCATCCACATCGAGAACGCACAAAACGTTATGATCGAAAGTCACTCAACGATGAATATTGACCATGCTAAAAACTCGGCCGATGAGTTTGATTTTTAAACCTGGTGTTTTAAGTGTGTTTTCACTAAAATACATGTTGTGAGAAATCATGGGTTTCAGGGAATGAAAACTTATTTTAGCCAATCAGAACACTCTCTACCTGTCAATCTTTTTAAATGCTCAGGTTAGTTGACATCTGGTTGGCTGATGTGTTTTTGGGGGCGGGGTTGGGAGAAGGCCTGACAATCAACCACAACTACCAACTAAAAAAGAAAAGAAAAAACAAGACATAGTGTTTCATATCATTGTAATAATTCAACATTAGGGCTGTATGTATGTTTTATGGTGGTTTATAGTTCTCTATTATTATTATTATTAATATTTTTTGTGGTACTTTGAGTCTAAGCTTAATTTCCATGTTCAACAATTCATATATTCATTATAATTAGGTTTTGCTTTAAAAATTGTAAAGTTGACACAGAAATGAAAAACGTCAACTGAAAGCAAAATGTCTATTGTGTTACTGTAAGGAAAAAAAATAATAAAATCATTGCCATATGACAGCAAGGAATATGTTTACACTTTTTTTTCCGTTACAACAGTTAGTTTTCTAATGACAAAACTGATAAATTATTCTGTATTACTGTGCTTGAGGGGAAATATCTGAATAAAAATAAGCTTAATTGGTCTCTGTCTTTAATCTGTCTGTCTTTAATCTATCTATAAATATGCAATTTATAATTAGTACAATTGTAATACGTGTGTGTGTG